ACTCCAGCTGGCAACCGAGCACCACACAGCCGCTCGCTCACTCCGCCCCCCCCCCAGTGGGATGGGGGAGAGAATCGGAAGGGGAAAAGTGAGAAAACTCGTGGGTTGAGGTAAGCACAGTTTACTAATTGAAATAAAATAAAATAGTAGTAGTAGTAACAGTAAAAATAATAAAAGAATATACAAAGCGAGTGATGCCTTACGCAGTTGCTCACCACTCTCTGACTGATGCCAGCCCGTCCCTGAGCAGCAGCCCCCCAGCCAGCGTTCCCCCAGTTCCTATACTGATCATGACATCATATGGTCTGGAATAGCCCTTTGGCCAGTTGGGGTCAGCTGTCCTGGCTGTGCCCCCTCCCAGCTTCTGGTGCATCTCCAGCCTCCTCAGTCAGTAGAGCTTGAGAAGCTGAAAACTCCTTGACGTAGTGTAAGCACTCCTTAGCAACAAGTAAAGCACCGGTGAGTTATCAACAGTATTGTCATACTAAATCCAAAATGCAGCACTATGCCAGCTACTAGGAAGAAAATTAACTCTATCCCAGCTGAAACCAAGATAGGTCCTAACTCAGCTTCCTCTGAAATGCTTCAAGATGTTCTCAAAGGATTTCTACACAAATTGGAGTCTTGCCATTGACAGAACAGCGCAGCAAAGGGCTGGGGAACATTGCCTAGAGAGCATCTTTAGCAAAGGAAAAGGAACCAAATGCCATGGCAATTTCAGAAGATAATCCATAAGGCTGGTAATCGCAGCTCTTTAAAAATGCTGAAAGCTGCACAACTTTCAAAGGCTCAAATCCAATATTCTTACCCACATTAAAGAGCACAGTGCCACTACATTCACAGGAGTTTCTCCTTTAGTCTAGAGACAACTTAAAACTGGTGCTTAAATCTTGACAGGATTGTGGCTTTGGGAGGAGTAAGGTGCTATGTAACACAAAGAAGACTTAATAGTTCTTGTCAGATAATGAAATCAGCACAAAATGCCTGGAATAAACACAATTATATCAAATAATGCAGATTTTAGGACCTGCAGGAGGAAGGGACTACAAGGACTGAATAAAATGTTTGCTAAGAAAAGAACAAGGAGAGGCACAGGTTAAAAAATCCCAAACCAAACCAAAAGACAAAGCGTATTTATTGTGTTTTATTCTGTCTGGCTATTGAATTTATATATATATCTATCAATCCACTGAATTTTGCCAGGATTTTTGAATTAAACTCATTTCATTGCAACTTAACGTGTTTCCCATTTGACATAATTTACATGAACTTCCAATAAATTCAAAAGTTATTTGCAAGTATATTAACCAGAGAAAATGGCAGAGCCTCTCTTAAAAGCTTTCAGAGAATACAGTACAGAATCTAAGATTTTTTGCTGCATATAAACAAGTAAATATTAGGGTACCACTGTACATAAATAAAACCTGTATTTTATATTATTGACCTATGTTCTTACTTTTAGATAACTGCCTTATTTGTTTAAGTAGCATTTTTTTCCCCTGAAGTATTTACATAAAACTTGTCTACATTTACAGTAAATAACCATAATTACCTACTGTGCTTTCAGCAGCCAAAAGCTGAATTGGCTAGAAACATCAGATGAAGATTCCTGGAATAATGGTATAACTAAATCACATCAACTCATGTGTACTACTACAAAATGTTGAGAGGAATTTCACGGCATTTATCAATTTACAAAATGCAACTTAAGTGTTGGGTCTGAACTGCTCTACCAGTAGGGTAAGCCCTGTAATTACAGTCAAGCTACAATTTATGGAACATACATTCTGCCAAACTACAGTATTTCAGTGTCTGCAGTGGTGTTAATAAAACTATATTGATTTCAAAACGGTAGCAAGCCAAATAACCCATCATGTAGCAAACAAGCCTCAGCTAGTGCCATCTCGGAAGTCTGCATGCACTGACTCCAGGTTTATATAGTACAGTCATTTCTCCAAACTGCTCTCACTGCCTATGGATCGGAACTACATGGTATAGTTAACTGTATCCACGCTAAGATAGCTAGAGACAGTTCTAATCCTCTCTTTGTAGAAGATCATACTGGGTCGAGGATGTTTTGCGGTCCTGTGCCAGCGACCAGAGAATTGAATGGTTGTCCAGAAAACACAAGTTTGTTGCTAGGACATTATGCAAGAGGATACTGCTGGAAAACCATTCCAGTAATAAATAATTTTTCCATTATAAAACAATGGATAAATGAAAGTGTCTGTAAATTACAAATATTTATCCACTATGTTCTAAGTATGCAATGTTCCATATATAAAGAAATTTTATGCTGAAGCTCCTATAGCACCCAATTTAAAGTGACTCCTAATGAGGCATGATTTTAATAATAGATATCAGAGATAATTATCCATTTATCAGACTATTTTTTGTTGTTCCTATGGAAGTCATATCAATCCACCAACATAAAAGAAAGAAAATACATATCACTGAAAATACAAACAAAAATACCTAGCACCAAACCAAACCTCTTCTAAACTCTGTCTTAGGGTTCAGTCCTGCACCCTTGTCTCATGCAAATAATTCTATTTAAATAAAGTAATCCTTTTTTTTTTTTTTTCTAAAACCCATCTGTGCAAGTCTAGATCTGCACATGCTACTTACATTAGTGCATCTACGTTTGTCCATTTTGGGTTTATGATAGAACAAAACCACGTATTTAGAATTTACTTTCATTTCATGTCTGTTGATATGGAGGCCTGATAAAAGATCAGAAAACTGCATCATGGTGGGGCAGGGAGGACTTGCCCTTGCCTCTTTGGGGGTAGGGGATACTGATCACAAACAGTTCCATCCAGCTCCTGTGAGATTCTCAGCAACACGTCCCTTAACTGTGACCTCTTCTACTGCAAAAATCTTTCTAAATAGGTAGTCTGTGACATGGCTGAAGTGCAAATGAAGCTTAGCTGTTGTTCCTTTTGCCTCTCTCTTCCTAGCTGCTGCAGTAGGCTCTACCTGTCCTGCCCCAACAGTAAATTCTCTTTTCTGGGTTTGCAGGCAGGCTCTTAGCACACTTTCATCTAGAAAGACCAGTCAGACTGAGGAGAAGCAGCTCGCATCCCGCTTTCGTTAAGTTAAAGGGGTCAGGACCGTGATGCAAAGGGCCATTCCTAAGTAGTTATCGCCCCAGAGTAGAGACAGGCTCTGCTGAAAATCACGAAGGTGGCGCGTGTGGGAACTCAGGAGCCACCAGAGTGATCCAGGTGCTCCTTCAAAGACTTGTCTCCTGGTAGGATGTTCTGAGGAGACTGGTTACGTGACGGTTCTCAAATAGCCTCGGAGATAAAGACCAAATTCCAGTATCCTCAGGCATGTGAGAAAGAGGGTTCTTGTGCTCTTAGGTGTTTTTTTACTAATACATTTGAACGTACCAGTTTACCTCTTACGTACATCATTCCGTGTCAGTTGAGTGCTTGCAAGCTACAGAACTTCTTGCCTTGAAAGAAAGTGAAGACCTTCACAGAAGTCTGCAAGACAGGACGTGATTTCCCCAAAACATCTGACCTTAGAGCACAAGTCCAGGCTCCTAAATCCCACAGGCATATTGAAAAGGTCCCATTCAGAAGCATTACGTGATGCAGTTTCTGTGCCCTCTGGGCAGCTGCCATATTTCATCAAGGACAAAAGAGATGCTCAGATGGTGGTGGCTGAACATGGCAGGGAGGAGCAGTTCCACAAATAAGAGTGTAGTTCAAATCCAACCTATGCTGAAAGTTAAAACATGAGAGTCTCTTTGCAGACATTAGGAAGTCAAAACATCAGTGCTGTGTATTTTTTTTTTAAGGAATAAGATTTGGACGGTTTAAACCCCCCTCCCCAATATCACAAGACATTGTAATTTTAACAAGAGTTGGTAATGTTGTCTTGTAGTGAACAGGAGGCATTCTGAAATCTCAGATGAAGCATTTTAAAGCCAAGTGATACTTACATACTTTGTAAATCACCTAAGAAGGCTGTTGCGTTGTCATAACCTATAAGAAATAATATAGCTGCCCTCTAAACTGAACAAAGAATCTTGTTTTATATTTTCTGTAATAAACATATACTAGTTAAAATTAGACAACGAATTTGCAGAGACAGAAACCTTGTCAGTGTGTGCTATTACAACAATAAATGAACATCACAAATGAAAGCTGGTATTTAGAAATGTGGATGGCAAGAGATTACCACATACAGTAGACAAATTGCTGTGCAGTAACAGTGAGCATCTTTACCTTTACAAAAACATCTTTATTTTTAGGCACTTCGCTATCATGTTTGCAGTGACTGTCCTTCTGGCCAGTTTGAAACTGAAGACCGCCAGAAACAAAACCTCATGGCTTGAAAAAACAGAACTGTTAAGTTTTATGTTGTTTATAGCCTGGGCACAGGCCAATGGGTCTGTAATACAAAGATAACTCACGCATTTGCTATGGAAATTGGGGTGCCCAAGTTAGCTATGTGAGCAGGTCAGACCAAGTAGAGCATTAAATTGTTCTACTGATTCTTCTTACAACACCTGAGCTGGATCACGTAGAGTTAGCTTAAATATATCTACATTGTGTAGGCGCTCTTGCTGACCTTTGGCTTGCACGTACAGTAAATTTTATCAGTTAATCAATGGGAACCTTGTATTACAAATAAGCTTTCATCTTTCTGTTGTCTATAGGAAAAGAACAGTGTCTAGTGTATGTGATACCCTAATGCACTCCTGGAAAATTACCACATAAGTAATCAATTTGTTTCATACTTTTATTGTTTAATACTTTTTGTAAGCCTGGGATCTTTCATACTGACCCAACCAAAGGGGGATCTCTCTCCTTGAAGAAAGGGAACCCCGTGGTTTTATCTCTGTGATAAAACCAGATGTTCCATCTGTAGCATTTATCTTTAGCATAATCCTCAACATCCTAGCTAGCAAGGGATATAAAAATACTTTTTAAATTTTTTTTTTTTAATTTTTTTTTTGAGGCTGAGATCTGCTCTTTATCTTTAGCATAATCCTCAACATCCTAGCTAGTAAGGGATATAAAAATACTTTTTAATTTTTTTTTTTAAATTTTTTTTTTGAGGCTGAGATCTGCTCCGGCAATGTCTTCAGCCATGACCATCCCGAAAGAGATGCTACAAATCAACTTCAGCAGCCAGGGTATGAAATCATACTGGTAGCAATTAATGCTCCCTGCTCCCAGGAGGAGACTTGCCCTTGAAAGTCTTCAGCACACCACCACAGGAGCATCTATCAGGCTGAGCACCTTTCTGCATTCTCCTGCTTTGCAGTAGACTATGTACACGAAGTTACTCGTGAGGCACATAACAGCCTTATTCAGGCATGTTCCAACCTAAATAAGTAACACTCGTCTGAAATAACTGGTAATTTGCCTAAGAGCAAAAATCCCTCATTGGAGTGTGGCCCAAATTAAAATGTTTGTTGCAGAAACAGGTTTCTTAACAGTCAAATTGCAAACAAATGTATATGCACAATAGGAGACAGAAAAAAAGTCCTTGAGCTGGGCTCTCTAATGTCTCCAATCCCACACTGCGGGGATGAGGGTCATGTCTCTAACTGCTTTCGCTCCAAGGCACTTGGCCTGAGTGGCTGCTTTTAAACACCTGTGGCCCTGCCTAGGCTTCATGTTCCGCTTGATGACTCCACTCTGGCTGCGTGTGGGATGAACAAGAGACAGGGCAGCACTGCCAGCCTTTTGTAGTCAGAGTAACACAGCTAACGCGAAGTTCTGGGAAGCACACAATACTAGAGAGAGCAGCCTGTGTCACAGCTTTACGCGTCAGCTTTCAGAAAGCACATTGAAACCATTTATCCAGCATCTTATAAAAGCACCATTGAAAGGTTGAACAGAGAGCACCGTGTATACAGAATTGTGATCAAGACAGCGGACAGGAGCTGTTCAGGGAGCTATGGAGACGCACACAGCCCAGAAGAATCCCTGCAGGATGGATTCCCTGAAGGCACGATAGACGAGGGCTTAGAGAACAAGGTAGCTGGTCCTCAGCCAGTTGCTACTGTGGGGATGGTCCAGCTCTGGGTGACTCTACTCATCCCTCACCCCATGATCCCTGCTACACATAAGCAAGCCTGCAACTGATAGGAATACAAAGACTGAAGCCTCCAATTGTTCACAGTTGACATGGACAAAGACCACCACCTCCCTGAATGCTCACTGTTGAAAAACTTAGGTTCTTCAAAAGAAGACTGATAAATCTTATTGCAAAGCTTAGTCATCGTAGCTACATTACTGGGCTTTTTAAAGGATGTTTGTGAGAGACTATTGCTATTGTAGGGCTAACTGAAGTCCAGTGCATTTAATGTGTTTCTATAAAGCTGTTTCCAACTTAGAAAAAGTGGGGGTTGTCTTTTTGTAGTTTTGTATTAAACAAACACATGGAAAAGTATGGAAAAGAGTATGGAAGTACTAGCTACGTAGTAAGAAAGGCACTATATAACTGATCTAACCGTGGTGATTAGGTACCTGCCTGTGCTACAAATAGCTGTAAAGAATCCATTTCTCTCTGTGACTGAGAAAGCAATTCTGCGTCATGGTAGAATGGGGCAACTGGTTTAGGTATGGGGTTAGAGCTGGTTTAGGTATGGGGTTAGAGCAACTCCCACAGGACATACATACTCATGGAAGAGATACACAAACTGCATTTCCTATTTCTACCAGTTCTCAGAAGGAAATCAGAAAAGACCTTTACACTAGTGTAGTTATATACATGTTACAGCTTGTCTTGGCCTTACTATGGCAATTTGATGTGAGATCTTATTATGTAGTTGTGCCAAAAAATGGAGGCAAAGAAATAGATTGTGAAGCTTCCCCAGAAAAGATCATCAGGTAACAAATACTTTGGATGTTTTTATTTTATTTAGGGATATGATGAAAGAGGAAAAATAGCGACGAAGAGACAAGTAGAAGAGACTCCCTTTTGTTTACAGTCAGATTAATCTCTTTCTTTGGGGATTACTGTTGGAAAAATCTTTCCATCCAATGTATTAGTGAAAAGGAAGCATTGGCAACAGCCGTGAAGGAACAGATCTTACTTCTGGGAAGACAGAACTAAACCAGAAGCTTGATTCTTTGTCAAGAGATGTAATTATTCACTTAAGAACCTTGGACTGAATTCTAAAACATTTTTCTTTAGCATTAGATTATATAATGGAGACTGTGGGGGAGTTACGGACTCCCCCATGAGTCCTTGTTCCGGAGGGCAATTCCTATTTGCTCCCAAGAGTCCAATGTGAGGGGGTCTCAACGGCTGAGCGCAGATACACACGTTACAAGCAGCAATCCAGAATCTGAGTTCCTTCCCCACCAGGCTGAGTGGTGGACGCTGAAAAGGTTGTGACCAGCCTGAGAGTCATTTAAATGGGAAGGAACGTGCCAGCACCACAGGACAGCAAACTCAGTACCAGCTCCCAGTGCCTAAGAGGCAGGTTAAAAACAGAAACAAAGGAAAAGAAGAGACGGGGAGGGATTTCGCTGTGGAAAAGGGAAGTCTGGGGGTCAGCTGTCAGAACAGGGGAAAGAAAGGAAGGAAGGAGCTGAGTCTTGCGTCCCTTCCTCCAAAACACCACTCTCAATTCTGCTCTGAAAGACCGCAAAGAGCGACCGGGCAGCCCTCCTCCTTCCTTTGACTTGCTGATCTTGATGGGGACACTTCTGCAGTGATGTTTGATTTTCTTCTTTTGCACCTTAAAACTTTACAATTAAGAGTTCAGTGTTATTCTTCACTATTATGAACTGGCATTATCTTTCATCTTTAAACTGGTCTGGAAATTACATCTGGTGAACCTGACCAACCTCATGTTGCTACTGTTTCTCCAAAAGCAGTTATCCATGTAAAAATGAGTAAGACAATCCCTAAGGATTGTAGATGGGATTGTAGATCCCATTTGAGATGTATTGGGGAATTTCAGGAGTTGGGGTGTGCCTGCCACTAAGTTGCAGGAGTCAGGCTGAGGACTATATATATAAACCCATACCCCTGAGCAAGGAACAGACAGCAAACACATAAAGACTGTGTTTGGAATTCTCTAGACTTATCACAAAAGATCTTCTGAAACGTGGTGCATCTTAACTTTGGCCTTAAACAATGTGAAGTAGAAGGAGAGAACAGTCAAAGGCAAACTTCATGAATTCACATTCAGGGGAACAGAAACAGAAACTTCTTTTGAGGGAAAAACGCCAGAAAGGAAGACTGAAGTCAGCTTCAAAAAGCACTGCAATGAAGTGGAAGCAAAGGGGTTTCTGCAGCTACAGAAGCATGGCAGCATGGTCAAGAACACGATGGGTGTAGACTGATCTGAACTGCTTTTCCTTGAAAGAAGAGAGTCATAGATCAAGTGTGCTGCACTGTCGCATGAGGTTAGGATCCACAAAGTCTGCATCACCCTGGGCACAGAGTTTGACTGCACACTTGCACTGCTCCTCAGAGCCATACTGCTTACAGGCAAAGCCCATAAATTAGCACACTTCTTTCAGTTATGAAGTAATTTCTAATAAATGTGCGTAACCAGATCTGTGTTTGTGCTCTATAGTACCAAGTAATGTTAAGCGTGGGCCAGCAATCTGAGAAGGGCTCAATGCAACATATCAAAATCCAGTACCAACAGAACTGAAACTAAACCTGTTCTAGGCTACTATGGAATAAGCCAACCTCAGTTTATGTACTGTTTACTTTGAATTGAAAGTAAACTACTCTTCAAGCACATGCCAAGTATTACATATGTGAATGTTGTTTGAATGCTACCCATTTTGGACCATAATTTATACTTGCATCCAAACTACATGTGTATGCTTATATACGTGGGGACATATGCACATGTGTACACATAACTCTGTACAAATGCATATCACGCAATGCCAGCTCTCTACTGTTGAACTGTTCTACATTGAACTGTTCTTGTACTATTGTACTGTTCTTGAAGAAAACAAAAGTATCAACCCAGTACCTACTTATTTCATCTAAGCACTGTACTTTGTTTTTAACAGTAACAGAATAATTTGGTATCTTTGAAAGACGGTGGCTTTCAAACTGCTTGTCAGAGCCCCAAGAAGTTCTTGGTTGCCCTCCTGCTCCTTTTAGCAGAGGAACAAGGAGGAGCAGCAGTTATCCCAGACTAAATCCCACTCTGTCTCTGCCCCTTTTTTGCCCTTTGGCAATGTTCTTTTCACAGACTCCATTATTTTGAGCTTAAAACAGCAAGGCATGTTCCACATCCCTGCTCAAGAAGACCAAAAATCCCCGAAGTTCATTTACATACTTCTAAAGTAAGGAAAAAAAATTAAAGGAAGACCAAATAAAGCCCAATCAAAGAATGGGATTCCTCCTGTTACATAAACCAGAAAGTTAATCTACAAAAAATTTTAACGTTGTAAAAATAAAAAATATCCACACAACACAGTGCATAAATTTTCCTATATAATAAACTAGACAAACATATTAAAATATTTTAAGCCTTAAAAAAGGGCAAAACTCTTCAAAAGGTGACTCAACACTATTAAGGTTAGACTAAACATTATGCCAGCGCATCCATTGGCACAACTTTTTGCAACGTGACTGTGGTCTGGTGTGTGTATGTGTAGGGGCATGTATGCACGCGAGGGGAATGGAGCAAGAACGCTAGGCGTGTCACTTGCCAGTTTAAAGCAGTATTTCACAAATAATCAAACAAAACCCCTACAAATACCAGTATGCATCTCAAATATTGCAAGTCACATTCCACAGCCCTTGACATTAAAAAAGAAGAAAAAGCCAACAGGATTAATTCAAGTACATTTGGAGTAGGTCCCTTGTGAAATGAAGTACTGTCGTTTGCACTTGAGTTGCAGTGATCGTGGACAGAGCTCCCCCAAAAGACACAGAAGCGAGCATGCCTTCCCCAGCCCTGCAACTAAGTCTTGAGTTGAGGTACGATGATCCATGGTTTGCTCAACAAAGTGGATGCTCGAACTTGAATGAAAAATGATGCTTGAAAAACACTTTGAAGCAAATGACATAAAATAGTCTTTTAAAACAAAAAGCCAGCTTTGTGTAAAGGCAGTCTTTTTGGTATGTAATCCTATCGGGACGACAAGCCCGGCAGTCCTTTCCAAATCCTGGTCATTGTGGAGCTAACGATAAAGAAGCCTTTACGTTGTCCTGCTCGTCATTCCAACCTGACATACCCTTCCCCGTGAGCCTCCATCCATCACCCAGAATAACCTAGCGGGTATCACACCCCGGCTGACATGTGCGCTGCTTCTTCACAACTTTTGCTCTCTGCTCAGCTTTGTTCCTGAAAAGGAGAAGCACTTCCCTCTCCGTGCTTCACATGTTCCTTTGAAAATACCCAGCGGATCAGATAAATGCTGAAATCTGCCTGCCAGAGTAGTTAAAGTCTGGTGAAATCCCTGTGGTGCTGCAAGTCCCCTATGCTCTCATAGTCATTCTCTCCCAAAAGAGCCGTGTGGTTTGTGTTAGGCACAGACAAGGTCCTGTCTTCTTCTTGGCTCACTGACTGGATAGCTTCATAGTCAGGCTCCAGCTCCCCGTTTGGTCTGTCCGCTGACTGAGGCACAGTGGTAGTATTTAGGGTGTTTTCAAAGTCCTTCACGCTTGCGTAGAGGCCACTGCAAATAGACGGGGACCTCTGCGATGCAATTTCTTGAATACAGGTGTAAGGAGAATCCAGCGCCTTGATGGCCTGTCCCGGCTTACTGACTGACGAGTACATGGCTGAGATCTAGGAAAAGGAGACACCTGCTGAGTATTTAAGCATGGCATAAAGCTTGTGTGCCAGTTTGCACCCCTTCCACCACAGGGATGTTGAAGAGAGGATCGTCTAATAAAAACATATCCTTAATTACAAAAAAAAAAAAGGATCTCTTACAAATCCTTTCTTTTCTGGCATGCATTTATAAATCTATTTTCTTTCAAAAAAGAAAGCTTTATAAAATGCTTTATAAAAGAAGTTTATAAATGTAGAAATTCTTTGAACATAAATCCCCTGCAGGCAAATTATACCCAGGACAAGAGGGAATGGCGTTGTGAGCAGGAGCCCTTGCAAGTTTTGCTGTGGTCCTGGAGCCAGCTTGGGCTCAATGGGGAGACAGGCGTCAAAGGGATGATCAGGTTTAGCTGCTGTAATGCAGGAGAAGGATGCTGTCTGATCCTTGGGGTTTTAAAAATTATTATTGTTATTTTTAATGGTAGCGGCTACTTTTCTGCTTTTAGAGACACCCCAATAGGAGAGTAGTTGTTATGTTTATAGGCAGGACCAAGGAGGCAACAAGTCACATGAAGAGAACATTAAAAACCAGGAGATAAATTACCCACACCAGAAAATTGCAAACAGCCAGCGCCGATCTTGATACGCGCGGTCTGTTCTGTTGACTAAACTCTGCCTACAAAGAGGAGTGGCATCTCGGTCAGAACTTAAGACTGAAACCTCGTGGCTACTATGAATACAAGAGAGGGAGCAGGAATCTTACTCCCAGCTCTAAAAATCCCCTCTGAGGAGACGGTATGCTTAAGTGCACGAAGGTGGCCCTTAATGAAGAGGTGAAGGAGGAGCCGGCAGGGAGCCACGCTTGAACGCCCTCTCCCAGTCCAAGGGGAGATGGCTGAGATTCCCTGCACTGCCTCTCTGGAACCTAGTATCGCAATTGCAACATAGCTCTTCCATTACATTTAAAGTGTTTCCCGAGCATGCAAGGCCGCTCTGGATTTCTATTAATCCAATTAAAATAGTAGATTGGCATGAACATGTCCATTACCATTAAGCAATGCTGACTGATGCAGATGAACCAGATCGCTTCCTTTAATTCTGTGTGTATATATATATTTATATAATGATAGACATCCAATTGCAGATGGCAATACTTCTTACTTTTTACTGATTTCAGCCAACCAAACAAAAAATGGCTTTTCTGCTCATCCATACTTCAGCCCTTTCCAGCGTTAAATTACATGAACCCAGTTCAAGGATCAGTTTATCCATTAATGCCTGGAAGCGCTTCTCCCAGCAGAAAGCATTAGCTCACTCAGCTCATTGCCAAGTTTGTGTTTACTTTTATGCCCAGAGAACATACTTATAAATTGCACGGGTGTATTGGAGATGATCACAAGCAACCTTATTTCTGTTTAACTTTTCTGCCTTTGTTTCGGTCTCCTCAATTTATTTGACTAACAGACATTTTAAAGAACAGTTTATGTTCCCGTGCTTTTATTGTGCTTCCGTTTATTTCCCAGAGTCCCAAACACTTTGCATGGGGAGGGGGGAACATGTTTCAAAAGGCTCCTGATTATTATTCTTAAGTAGAGCTCATCATCCAAATCAAGAAGCTGCCCTAACGATCAGCTAATTGTGGCCTCCTGTTATTTTCTGACAGCATTTTTTAACCTATTGGCCTGACACAGCCATATGCTGGAATACTTCTGATTTTAGGAATGTGGCAGTACAAACTCCATGCAGGGAAACTTCGGCTTTCATTTTCCCTTCAGACAAATCTCACCTTTCTTAGATCCTGCTTAATCATGCAAAGCTTATGCTAATTTCTGCCTGGAAAAGGTCTCTAGTTAGTTGTTGAATTTCGTGCAAGAAACCTACCTCATCTTCTGTAAGAGATGGATCTTCCTCTCGAGACTTGTAAGACATCGAACTAAGCCTCTGTAAAAAAGGAAGAAAGAAAGAAAAAAAAAGGCTCATTACCAGTCAACAGTGTGAAACCTATAATAAAAGCCTCCCATTACAATCAATACATTATATTTTATGGTCATTTTCTCACTAGTTCCATTTTACATAGCTAATATCCCTAATATCCAGAGTACATCTCTGGAGAGAACAGCCCTGAGGTTCGTAGAGCTTTTTAATGTATCTGCTCTTGTCCTGACCTGCAAAGGGTAAAAAATAATGTAGTGGTTAAAACAAACTCTGCTT